AGATCGCTTATATTCTCTGAATTTGCCAGTTCAATGACACTTGGAATAAAAAAAACTTACCCACGGAAATTTTTTTGCTTTGAAAGGCCACAAAGTAATCGCTTCCAAGAATTTATGCACTTTGAATGGCGTCGAGCACCAGCTTCTGCACATTAATGATTTTCGTTCCGTCGACTGTTGCTTCGATTCGAAATAATTTGGAGTACTCAGAGCTGAGAATTTCTTGTTCTGCACGAATCCATGAACGAGAGAGTGTGGTTTGCAGGGATCTCAGCAATAATCTTTTGTCGACGGTACGCTCGGATACGTTTATTGGTCTGCAGTCACTTCGTACTTTGCGGTTGTCCCGGAATAAAATTGAGACTCTCGAGAAGGGCGCATTTCGAGGACTCTTCGCGCTTCGATTTCTGTAAGTTATTCTGAGAAGTATGAGAGGTCTTTCGATAGCACCTTGCTGGTGAACTGATTGACTAACAACATTTCGGTAGATTATTCATTATTTTGGTCTTAAAGAAGCTTACGTTGCTCTTAAAATAACTTGGACGAGTTGTCCATTTGGAGGGAAGCTGGGAGCTCTTCCTCTCATGTGTTTCCTGTGATGCTGCCCGTAAAGCATTTCGTTTGCAGAGATCTCAGTCGCAACCGTCTCTCCACTTTGCACGCCCTAACGTTCAGCCCATTAACGATGCTGCAGAATCTGTCACTAGCTCGAAATTTGATTGGAACACTTGAAGATGGTGCATTTTGGGGCTTGGAGCAGCTTCAACGCCTTAATGTCGCTGAAAATCAGTTGAAAGCAGTCACTGGCGGATGGTTATATGGAATGCACTCTCTCACAGCTCTGTATGCCAGTTATTGGACCAGTTCTCTCATTCCTTATTTCTATTATAATTTCCATTTGCGTTTTTTGCATCTAAGCAATGCAGGAAACGCATATTGACGAGGGGTTGTCTCTGTGTGCCTGTATGTTCGTCTATACCAATTTTTCATCTCGAGACCTACAAAAGCTACAGGACTGAAATTTTGGGAACTTAATCTACATGCACGTGCAGGCCCCCATTCCCAAAATGGGCGACCTTACCCGCGTGGTACCTACGTATGGGCCCGCCAAAGTTTTTAGCAGGTAAGCTGTTTATTCGGGAACCAGAAAAACTAAAAAGCTGGAATTTTAAGGGATTGTCCCCTGTCAGCGTAGGTCTTAATGAGTTCAAACCCAGACCACGGGTATGCGTGGTTCCTACGTACGGGCTCCTGTAAATCTTTTACGGGTAAGTTGCTGACTCGGGATGCTAGAAAGCTGGGATTTTAAGGCGATGTTTTCGGTCTACGTTGAACTTAGTGATTTCAAGATGTTCTCCCAGTTACGCGCGGTTCTCACGTACGGGCCAATGAAAA